TTACTGTTTTATATATATACATTCAATCAGATGACATTTGCTGTGCTAAGCATTTTTCTAAGTTTGGGGGATGAAAGTGCTTTACAGACCAACAAAATCCTTGCACTGATAAGGTTTAGATGACAGGTTAAGGCTGAAAAACATTCAAATAAGTACTTTAGCACTGATGCATACAATAAAGAAAAACAAAAGTAGTATGAACAGAAAGTATGATAAGAGCAAAAAGGTTGTTTTCAATACAGTGTTTGGAGAAAGCTTCGCAATTGAAAATGGAAGGAAAAATCTAAAGAAATGAAGGAGAATGTTACACAAACTTCGTGGAAGATGACAGCAAACTGTGATGCTCTGGGGTAGAAGTGAGGTAGACTTATTCCAGACATCTCAAGAAGCCCTGGTGCTGTTGCCCAGAAAGGGATTGGCAGAGAGGCACTGACGAGTCTGGAACTATGGATTGAGCCCTGGAGAGAACTCAATAGGCTATGGTAAATAGGATGAGGGACCATACAGAGGGGTGAAGAGTGACATTATCAAATGAGGCGTGTGAAGATGGGACAAAAGTTGGGAGGAGCAAATGTGAAATCAGGGAGACCGGTTAAAACCATAGATGAAGAAGCTGGGGAAGTGGCTGGATCTCATCAGTAAGTTCTGATGGGAGAGTCGTCCACATTCATTGATAATTAGGGATATGGAGTAAGGAAAAGAGAATGGAGTGAGTGTGGATATCATTTACTGAGACAAAGAAAACAAGAAGAAACAGGATTGGAAAGAGAGTAAGAGTTTTATATATTAAGTCTGGGACTTCCTATTAGACATCCAAGTTGGTATCAGCCAACGATATCAGCATATGGACATACAAATCTAGTTGTAGAGAAGAAGTCAATAATTAAAATACAAATTTAGGAGTCTAAATTAGTTCAACCATTGTGGAAGACATTGTGGCAATTCCTCAAGGATCTAGAACTAGAAATACCATTTGACCCAGCAATCCCATTACTGGGTATATACCCAAAGGATCATAAATCATTCTGCTATAAAGACACATGCACATGTATGTTTATTGTGCCACTGTTCACAATAGCAAAGACTTGGAACCACCCAAATGCCCATCAATGATAGATTGGATAAAGAAAATGTGGCACATGTACACCATGGAATACTATGCAGCCATAAAAAAGAATGAGTTCATGTCCTTTGCATGGATGAAGCTGGACATCCATGTCCAAAACATGGATGAAGCTAGAAACCATCATTCTCAAGAAAACTAACACAAAAACAGAAAACTAAACACCACATGTTTTCACTCATAAGTGGGAGTTAAACAATGGGAACACATGAACACAGGGAGGGGAGCATCACACACTGGGGCCTGTCAGAAATAGCTGGGAGAGGGATAGCATTAGGAGAAATACCTAATGTAGATGATGGGTTGATGGGTGCAGCAAACCATCATGGCATGTGTGTACCTATGTAACAAACTTGCACATTCTGCACATGTACCCCAGAACTTAAAGTATAATAATAAAAAAAAAGTTTTCAATATATTGTCGGTATTTAAAATAATGACTTAAGTAAGATTAAGGCAGACCTAGGAATATTTTAAAATTTAGAGTTTAAGATAAATAAAAAAGAGCTGGGGGAAAGAAAAAGACTGAGGAAGAACAGAGAGTGAAATGAAAGGGAAATCACAAGTTCATGGTAAATTCTGAAAGTCAAGTGAAGAAAAGAGTTCAAAGATGATTCCTTAAGTTCCAGGAATAATCTACCAGGTCAATTATGCTCAGGAGTGTTGGCTTATTTCTGGTTTCTTGTACTTACTTCTGTTTCTTACACATGCACAAATAAGCATATACCCATATTTTAAAAACAGATTTCTACTTAAAATTAAATAAAAATATTCACATATATGAAACTCTTTTCCTTACTCATGAAAAGGAAAATGAATTAAACATATTCTTGTTGTCTACCATCCTTTTATGATAAAACTACCTTTTGTGCCTGTTAATTTTTCTCTTTTGAGTTTTATTGTGGACACATGGCCTTTCATAAACAACTCATTTCTTTTAACAGGGGTAATTACGATGATCATTATCTGATAGACACCTTGCTAAAACCTGGCCATTGTTATTTCATTTAATCTGGCTTCTTTGTACTTTCAGAATTGCCCTGATATTCTTGAAAACTTTCTTACTCTCTGGCAACAACACTATGTTTCAGAAGCATTCTGATTTTCAGTTGCCTTAAATATTAGAATTGGCTAGTCATCTGGAAATCCTAGTTATATTCAGAGGAGAATAAAAATAGAGACGAATAATGCAGTCCTGGATGTAAATGTCAGTGTTGGCATTCTGCAAATTTGTTGAGGTTGCTGTCGTGCCACTTGTAGTAATAGTAAAACAGGAAAATATTTTAATTTACAGTTGTGGATTCCCATTGATTTTCTTTTCCTTTCAGCCTGTTGTGATGCTCTATCATAGCTGTCTTACCAAATTTGCTTTCTACTACATTGGAATTCCTACTGACAAATGGACATCCTGATGCTAGAGTGCTGAAGTTATTTTCACATCAGCACATAGCCACATACCTTGGGGATACCACTAATTTATCCTACCTGTGCTGCTTCTACGACCCAGGAAATGTGCTAATCTTTGAGGTTACAGAGATCGGGAGTGTATGCTTTTCTGCCCTCTCCAACCAATGCTTCTCTTTCTCTTGCTACTGGGATGAATATCTTGCTCGCGCAGGACAGACAGTGAAAAGCAGCAAAAATTCAGCCAACTTCTACCTAAAGATGCCCTATCTTTGCTATCTTTAGCCTCTACTGGATTGGGGATTTCCTATTCAAGGTGGTTCTCACCTTCTCCTATGTGCATATATCTTCTGTGCTATAGCTCTTCCTTCCTTTGCTAGAAAGGAGATGCTTTGAGACAATATTTTAAAAACATAAAACGTCCCATCACTTCATCTAAAATGATTTTTCTGGAGGCTGTCTTCCCCTACCCCTCAGATTTGGGTATCTAAAACAGCTAGGAAGGTTTCTGCATTGCTCAATATCTCAACAGCGATTAAAAAGTACAAATTGTTGAGTGTCACTCCAAATTTCCAAATAAGAATTTCTGGAAATGAAAACTAGAAATCTAAAGTTTTAGAAACTTTCTCAAGTGATTCAGAAAACTTAAGAACCATTGTCTGTAAGCTCTGTATTCACTGGTCATTTTCCACCAAGGAAAAGCTCTAAAACTACTGCCAGATGTGATAGAGAAAGCAGTGCAGAAATAGAACACCAAAGAAGAGATTTTTCTCTGTTCACTCTCCCTGCATAGGCTAAAGTAGGCACGGGAATCTCAGGGTACAATAGAAGTGGGGTGCGGTCAGTATGTCTGAAATTATCAAAATGCCAAGTATGGCCGAAGTACAGATTCCCCTGAAGTGGAGAAGGGAAAGCCAAGAACACCTCTTGGCAAGCCTCTATGGCACCGTAATGACCTCCTGGCTCAGTCTCTGGGCCACTTAAGGAGCAGCCACCAACCATGGAGTAGGACAACTTCCCCTACCTGGGCCCAGGGAACATAACAGCAGAGCACATCTCTCCTTCTTTCCCACCACGTCTCCAGTCCTTCCTTTCAGTTCTCAATCCCTCCGACAGCACCCCACTCACAGCTGTATGAGGCACCCCAGTCACTGGTTTAAGTGCAGTCTCTAAAGTCAGACAGCTCCGAGTCTCCCCCTACCATCTAAATAATCAGCGCCTCATTTGTTCTGATTGTAAAAGTCTGATAAGGATTAAATGAAGAGACACAAAGCTCTTGGTACTGCACTTGGCACCAAGTAGTATTCTGTTGCTACAGATCACTTAGGTATATTTCTTCAAGTTTTAATTCAGTGTGATTGTCATTGGATGCTTACTGAATGCTTGGACGCTCTGAATGCTTGGCTTACTGCTTGGCTTACTGCTGACTACTACTTGACCAAACATGATAATTTGGTAAATAAAACAAAGTGATGGATAGATAGACGTAAGTAACTTCATGCCCTTTATACATCTGTAAGTGACTTGGACTTTAATATTTAAATACCACATTAAACTATGCATTTGCAACTGTTAAGAATTGAATTAATAGCTCTGCCTAGGATTGCAATCATTGAATTTTACCTTCATCGTGAATATGGTTTAACTGGCTTAATTCCAGCTGATAATTCCTTGGTGTGTATAAATTGCAGGCCAATAACACATTTAAAAGTCCTTGCACACTTTCAAATTATAATGTAGTATCCAATTTAATCTGTTCTACAACACAAGTGTCCTCTTTACTAATTATTATAGGTGGCTAACATTATGTATGGAGATTATTCAAGTTTATATGTTGGATTATAAAAATCATAATAATGCATACTGCTTACCTTAACTATATGTGAATTCAATGACTCTCTAAATGGAGAATACATCTGAACTTCCTTCCACTACACTACAGCAGTTACTGCAGTTGTCTGAAAACGCCCTGGACAGAGACACAATTTCCACAGTGAAATGTGACCTAAGACAGAGGCTCTCCAACCTAGCCATATATTATATATATTAGCACAAATTTTGAGATTTAATTTTAAAAGTATTTTTTACATTGTCTGGTAATCTATTCCAGACCCATTATATTAGAACTGGGCCAGGGGAACGGCGGGGAGGAGGAGAAGTAGGTATCAGCATTATTTAAAAGCATGTCAGGAGACTGTAACATACAACCAGAGTTGAGAACCAAAATCAAAAACCAGACATCAGCAGATGACTTAAGAGAAGTGAAAGAGAGAGACTGGCACCAATTAAGGCTTTCTTTATGTTGTGATCAGAAAAATAAAGATTTAAGAAATATTTTTAGAGGACAATTCTTCAGAGAAATTGAAGAACATTTCAGGATAGAAACATAATCTGAAATTTCTATGATGAAGATCTTCTGGAAAGTAACCGCTGTAATGGAGGGTGTCTTATATTTCTTCATTCCAATTTTCAGGAGAAATTTAGAGCCATCCAAGTGGACAGCAGTCCTAGGCCTGCATATGGCATCCAATCTGACCTCTCCTCACACAGTCTCTCGGTTGATAGATCAAATTGTCATAAATCCTCATTACAATAAACAAAGAAAGAACAATGACATTGCCATGATGCATCTGGAATTTAAAGTGAATTATACAGGTAAAAAAATCACTTTTGGTCATCTTATCTGCCAAAATTAATTCAAAATTAGATTTGAAATATTATCAATATCAATGCATTAATGTATTAAAGTGAGATAATTTGTTACATAAGTCATTAGAACTTAAATGGGATTAGGGAGTAGAGAGAAATATATGGAATTTCTTTCATCAGGATGTTTAAATTCAACTTTCTGGAAAAAAACAGTAGAATAAAATTCTTTGAACAACCTATAACAGTAAACTCAAAGGAGCAGCTCAGAGAAATAGGTGATGTTATTATGCATGCCTTCTCTATTTCTCCTGTAAAAAGAAAGGCAGGTTCATCTACCAAAAAGGCCAGAGTAAGACATCAACTGAGAGAAGAGCTTATGGTCTGTGGAGAAAGTGAGTAAGAATTAAGTTATTCATAGGATGAAGTTTTTAATGGAGATTCAATAATAATATCAGAGTGGCAAATGAAGGACTTCCTCCAAATGCCTGGAAAATATGCAAGAAATCCCCTGATAAAGTGAACTTTATCATGAAGGGCTCTGCTCAATTCCAACCTTTATTCCCAAGTCTTTTTCAGTGCCCATTTAGGATAAAATGTTGCCATCTCTTGTTTTCATGGAGTTTGATCTATACATGCATCATAGCACTTACAAAAAGCGGACTATTTCTCCGGTTAGTTGTATATCCCTGTCTCTGAGGGTAAGCACGGTGTCTTACTCATTTTTGTGTCTGCCCTTGGTCTTACATGTAGTGGGTGCTTAATAGTGCCAGTAGGCTTGTAAATTGATGAAAGAAGGGCTTTAAAAGTGACCAATGTCAATGCTTCCATAATTGCCCCATAAAATAATCTCCTAAAAGCTTTTTCAACATGGAGATAATTGGGGAAAATAAAAAAGCCTCAGAACATTTGCCCAAGTTTCTATTAATTGATGCTAAAAATCATCTTTACCAAAATTTTTACAGAACAGGTACCACTTTCTATTGAGCACCACAATTTTATTAAAAAATAAAATATAGATGATTACTTCTAGAACTATACAGGTAAAAAAAATCACTTTTGGTCATCTTATCTGCTTACTTTAACTAAATATGAATTCAATGACTCTCTAAATGGGAGAATGCATCTGAACTTCCTTCCTTTACACTACAGTACAGATCTAAGACATTTTTCACACTGTTCTACTGTTTTACATTGTTTTTAATCTCTTCTACAACACAAGTGTCATCCAGTTAATGAGACTTGTAAAATACCCTAAAAGGCCACTAGTGGTAGCTGATCTACTGTCAAAATAAATGCTGCTCTGAAATGCCTATTTCCCCCAAGACCAATGTTCAAAATTTGTACAAGTAGGATAAAACAAAAAGACAAGGTTTTTAGATTGTTGAAAATGATTGATTTTTAAAATTTGTCAGAAATGCTTGTAAATATGTTCTTTCTTTTTCTTTGTTTGTTCGTTTTGCTGTTCATTTTTTTTTCCAGATTACATACAACCTATATGTTTACCAGAAGAAAATCAAGTTTTTCTTCCAGGAAGAAATTGTTCTATTGCTGGTTGGGGGAGAGTTGTACATCAAGGTAAATTATGAGACTCAAAAAAAAAAAAAAAACATGCTATCACAATATCCTGTAAATACTTTAAACATTTTTGCAATTCTTTTTTTTTTTTTTTTTTTTTTTTTTTTTTTTTTTTTTTTTTTTTTTGAGACGGAGTTTCACTCTTGTTACCCAGGCTGGAGTGCAATGGCACGATCTCGGCTCACCGCAACCTCTGCCTCCTGAGTTCAGGCAATTCTCCTGCCTCAGCCTCCTGAGTAGCTGGGATTACAGGCATGCACCACGATGCCCAGCTAATTTTTTGTATTTTTAGTAGAGACGGGGTTTCACCATGTTGACCAGGATGGTCTCCATCTCTTGACCTCGTGATCCACCCACCTCGGCCTCCCAAAGTGCTGGGATTACAGGCTTGAGCCACCATGCCCGGCTCATTTTTGCAATTCTTATATAACAATTTTGCAATATCTTCTAAAAGTACTGTCAAGTATGTATGTATATGTTTAGGGCTGTACATCTAGAGTTTTCAAACATATACTTCTAGACTTCGTATATTTGTATAGTTTTTAAATTTTTCTTCAGCTTGCATAGGTAATATTATAACACTATAATCTTTTGAGGGGGAATTCAAGTGTCCCCTAACTCAATATCTAGTTTTAGTATTATGAACACTCTGATAAAGATAAAAAATACTTCATTAAAATGAATATAAACTAAGGTTACAAAAATTTATTTTGGTAAAGCACATGATAAACTCTCATCAAAAGCCAAAGTATTACCTGTTATATTTTCCAAACTAATAAAACTATCTTTATTTATAATGTAAAGGCCTTACACTCACATTTCCTTAAAATGAGAAAGGAATCTCTTCTAACTTGGACATGCTAATTCTGCTTATTGACAAGAAGACTCAGATTTGACATGAATCATACACTGTATCCATAAGTTGATATATCATTCACCCCAGCATCAACTGTATGTTTTCCAAACGCAAAAATGATACATATTAAAAATAATCATACATATTTTTTAAAAAGTATTCTCATACTTCATACCCTCTAAGTATAACCACAAGGCTCATTGGTTGTGTAATTTCTAATAGGAATGCCCTATCTGGGACAGAGTTTTGACGATTAATAAATAATAAAGCAACAGGAAAGGCACTATAGTCTGATAAGAGGACCTGATCTCTGCAGTCACAACAATTATAGCCATGATGTTTAAATGCCCTAAATGTATTTAAGGTGAAAATGCAGAAAATCTTGTGGAAAGGTAGAGGATCTCAGAATCAAAGTACTCACATTTAATATATTCTTACCTATTATAGGAGAAAGCACACAGTTCTAAGTTAAATGCTTTTCTGGTAATTCCTACAAAAGTTTTTACAGCAGTGACACTGTATTACTGAAAATGTCTCATATCTGCTGTCCATAAAGTATATTGAAGTCTAAGACTGTATATTCATATATTTCTCCCACTTGACAAATATTATTATTCATTAAACTTGAAATTTAAACAGTAAAAACGATTCCTAGATAGATATTTTCTCTTTTCTGACTTCAAGCTAAAAGTCATTTATGACCACAATTTAGGCTCTCCAAAAATAAACTAACAAAATTCAAAACTTTTTATTCTATAGGAAATGTTTTTGTTTGTTTGTTTTTTGTGTTTTTTTTTAAGCTGAGTAAATGTGGCTCACATTTACTTATTGTTGCTAAAGATATATGTCTAATTGACTTAAGAAGTTCTCCAAGAGTGGTATGGAGCCAGAAAATAAACTGTATTTGAGACCAATTTCATTTAGGAATAAACAAAAAGATCATGTTTAAGTATTTTTTGGGTGATGGCAATTTTCATATATTTTACGAACTTTGCTTTATGATTTCCATCTACTTAATTCATAAAATCCCAGTTTTTCATCTTTTGATTATCTTATGCTAATTAATTAGAAGAAAAACCATGAACATATTGTTCAATAGGAAGAAATAGGTGATATTAGTTGGTTAAATTAAGGCAATCAGTAAACAGACACTGATCAAATTTTCCTTTTCCAGTTTTATCATCTACAAAACAAATTTTAATTGACAAGCAGCAAAAGTGGCCTTGGTTTTTATTATAAAATTAAAGTCTGTCAGCCCATCCTGGATCCTCATAGAATGGATAAGTTAGATACCAAATTTTCTCCTCCACTGTAATCTCTCCAATTCATTTTCTTAACCTATAATCCATTGTCAGACTTGAAATGTTATCTGATAATGTTTACTCCATGTTCACTGCCATGCTGATACCTTTAAATTGATCATTGTGGAAGTGTTCACACCAGTAAAATGAGAAGAAGACCCATGGCCTTCCATTTTTCTGAGACAGCTGATATACAATTATCAATGCACTACTAAGTCATATATACGCTGTCTTGCCTCTGAATTACACACACACACATACTCACATATGTATGCACAAACACTTTTTGCTTTCTTCATCTTTTTAGTGCATGGATTAAATTTAGCTAGAAATGAGGTCTCATAAATTTTTGCAGCATCAATGGCTGTCAAATTCGCTAACTTCTTTTCAACATTCTACCTCTCTTGAGGAAGCAAATAGAAATGCTAATTATTAGAAGTGCTTATCATGTACCTTTTCTGGGGCACTAGACACCTGCCTGTTTTACATCTCTCTTGGGATGAGTATTTCAGCACGCAGAGATTCGTACTTCTAGTGGATGAATCATTCTGTAAAAAGCAAGCAAGTACACTCTGTTTTATTTACACAAAATACCTCCTTTCTCTTCACCTGGGTATGGATAATAAGCTGATTGCCCCTAGACCAGGGCAAAGTGTGTCTGAGCTTTCTCCCCTGCTCAATGTGCACCTGCTCACTCACACAGCACCACAAAGAAGCTGAATGCTATTATACAGAAGCGAGCACCTTCTCAGGTGCCAAATGAAAAGCACTTCTGGATTTCTGAGCCGTTGCTAATTTCCATGAATGAAACACTTTGTGTTGGTAAGCTGTTTCCCCCATGAGCAATCCTGTAACTGTTTAAAATCACTGAAGATGCCCGAAGACCTTCTAGTCTAATCCACTCTTCCTCCTAGCCCTTCGGTAAGAAAGAAGAGCTTTCCTGTTATCCATTTGGCAAATAAGATGAGCTTTATTATGTACTTTGGTGTGCAAGGTTTAGTTTTTAGTTCCATTATATATGCACACGGTACTCAATAGTGAGAGTGAAATGTTGGAATAAATAAGACTGATGGTAGTTCATTCAAGGATGCATGTTGCTCACTTCTGACTGGCTGGTTGCATTATCCATTTTGAGCAGGCCTTACTGCAAACATATTGCAAGAAGCCAATGTTCCTCTTCTATCAAATGAGAAATGCCAAAAGCAGATGCCAGAATATAACATTACTGAAAATATGATATGTGCAGGCTATGAAGAAGGAGGAATAGACTCTTGTCAGGTAAAGATGTAAAGCTGCTCACTGTACATTTTCAAAAAGCATCGGTGTTATAATTATTTCATTGCTTAACAATAATTTGGGAGTAAGAAAATCATCAAGATTCTTTAATTTCTCTTCTCTTACAAAACTGTTACTTTTTTGCCTATTTGCATAATCCTCTTGAGTAGACCCGAGCACTAGAAACAAATTATTTTTTAAGAAAAGAGGTTACAAGTCAGATGTCTTTGGACATTGTCTAGATGAATATCTGCATAGCCTAGTTAGAGTCAGTTTACAGCTAACCGACAGGGAAGTAAATACTGTAACTTAATAGACTGGCATAACCCTGGCTCTGGTTTTTATGTTATTGTTTACACTTTATATGAGAGATGTAATAACTTGATCTTGCTGTAGTGGTAATGTCGATACTGCAATAAATTTGAAGTGTCAATAGCTCTTGACCTGTGTGACCATTAGAAAAAAAACTCATACCCATATACTACCTTCATTGAAACATCTTGCCACCTAAAAATAGTGTGCCTGTCTATTACCTCCATGAAATCCAAAATCACACAATAAATTAAAAGGGAAGTTCTGCTAGATTGTCAAATTATAATTAATTTTTAGGTACAGCATGGGGTAGTCATGAAGAGCATGGATTCTATGTTCATACTACTCTTGCTTGATCCCGGCTTTAACACTTGTTGGTGAGACTTTGGGCAAGTCACTTAGGGTTTATGGAGAGGTTTAAATCAGGTGAGCCATGCAAGGCATCAAGTAGTTACTAAAAAATATTAACTGTTTCTATTATGAAACTTACTAAATGAGTTTTCTGGCATATTTTCTGTATTTGACAATTAATAGCATACCAATGCTTTAATGACTGTCGGGTTAGATTAAACCTGCTAGCATTACTGACCAATGAATAATTTCTAAATGAGGAAATAGCAGTTTATATCATGGGAAAGTGGTTTCACCTTGTCAAAGTATAGCAACTTATGTATTAACACATGTATGTCATTCTACCAATACATGACAAGCCATATAAATTGATGTTTATTCAGATAATATGTTTATAAGTCCCCTAGTTAAGTCAATGGCTTAAGTTGTGTTAAATTTCCAGCTTAGTTTTAGATTTATTCTGCTTTGATAAATGCTTGCAAATTCAAGACAAATAGGATGGCTTTCTTCTTGTTTAAAATTTATCTCTGAGTCTTACACTTCTTTTGTAAAATGAAAAGTGTGCTAAAGATAAAATATATTGCCACTTAGGAGGAGATCTATAGAATTATTGCACAGGAGAGAAATCAGCTGGACAACTTCAAGTGCAGTTTATGGGGACTGTGTGGCAGACACCTCACGCAGTAGGCAGAAAATATGATGGCTGATGCTACTGATTTTAGGATTACATTAAGCTATTAACTCATGCCAGGTCTCTGAAATCTTATAGTTAGCTCTAATTCTACACAGTCTAAGTATGTTATTCATTGGCAAGTAAGAAAGCTCCCACATAAAGTAATATCTTGTACAATAAAATGTTACCATAATTGAGTAATCAATAAACTAGATTGTCACATGATTTTCTTTGTTCAACTTTAATACTATGTTTTATAAGAGGATTAACTGATTAAGTAAGAATGCATTCTTTAAAACTGTGAACATATTATTACTGATACATTATTTGAATAAGTTCTCTGAAGCAGTAATTTTTAGCCTTATAATGGCAAAGAATGTGTTTTGTTAGTCATCCACAACTTGCATGTCTTCTGACTTACCGAAGACTTGCCTTTTAGTGGTAGTAGTTTGGATTTAAAGGCAACATCAGTGGCTGGAGAATATCTTCTTTACATAAAACTCAGCAAATGACACTCTACCTACCATTCCAAGCCATATTCTATGCTAATGGCTTTCAATGCATGGCCTCCAGTCCAGCAGCATCAGCTAAGAACCTGCCAGAAATGCAAATTATCAGGTACCATTACATATCTGGTGAATCAGAAACTATGAGGATGGGGTCTAGCAATGTGTGTTTGTCACATCTTCCAGGGGATTCCGATGCACACTAAACTATAGGAAGTAATATTCTAAACAAAAATGGTCACCAGCCCTTGCACTCAGACACTCAAAGAAGGTACTGATTTTTTTTACTTATAAATATGACATCTCACTAGAAACATAAATTTACAATTTTAATACTTTATGTTCTGGAAATTCATGCTTTTTAAATTTTTATTTATTTATTTTTAATTTTTTTTGAGACAGAGTTTCATTCTTATTGCCCAGGTTGGAGTGCAGTAGCACAATCTTGGCTCACTGTAACCTCCACCTCTCAGGTTCAAATGATTCTCCTGCCTCAGTCTCCCGAGTAGCTGCAATTGCAGCCATCCACCACCACACCTGACTAACTTTTTGTATTTTTAATAGAATGAGGTTTCACCATGTTGGCCAGGCTGAACTCGAACTTCTGACTTTAGGTGATCCACCTGTCTCAGCCTCCCAAAGTGCTGGGATCACAGGCATGAGCCATTGCTTTTAATATTTTAGTTGGGATGCTGTTTATAGCTGTGCTTTAAAGAACTTCTTAGTCTCCACCAAAGTGCCTAATTAACGTGGTGAAACTCTTATTATAAAAGTGCACCACAAAAATGATAAATTATGTCTTAGTTATCGTTTCTCTGTCTCCTTATTGAGGTCTCATTCCTGGCTTAGAGTGAAAGTGAAAATATACACAGATGATTTGCAATTAAATCATATTTTTAAATTTTTAAAATTTATTTGATACAAATAATCTTATATGTTTAGATCAGTTGACCACATATCTATGATTTTGCTTTGCAATTCACTCTTTAGGGGGATTCAGGAGGACCGTTGATGTGCCAAGAAAACAACAGGTGGTTCCTTGCTGGTGTGACATCATTTGGATACCAGTGTGCCCTGCCTAATCGCCCTGGAGTGTACGCCAGAGTCTCAAGGTTTACAGAATGGATCCAACGTTTTCTACATTAGAGCATTTCTTAAACCAAATATGAAATTCAGGTTATTTTCACATTCTACTCTAGAAGTCATGGAAATTAAGTATTTTGTACAAAATTTTTTAAAAGTTACCAAAAGTCTTTATTCTTACCTATGCCAATTAAATGCTAGGGGTCCAGGGAAGCAAAATTTTAAAAACAATAAAATTCATCTTGGCAATAGAGAGTAACTTTAAAATACCATTAAATATATTTTTATTTCATTGTGAACAGCTATTTCTTCACAGATCTCATTTTTAAAATTCTTAATCATTATTTTTTATTATTTACAGTTATTTAAAGGGGTGTTATTTTAAAACATATACCATATGCTTAAGAAATTTTAAGCATAATTTTAAAAAGAAAGAAAATAAAATGTTTTGCCCACAGTATGTCACTGTTGGAAATAAACTGCCATAAATTTTCTAGCTCCAGTTTAGCTTGCTATTAGCAGAATCTCAATAGTTTTCATCTCAATCATTGTTCTGTTTTTTCCCCATCAAAATGCATTCTTATTTTGACATATGCATAACCTTAGTATTTTCCCCACTAATTGAAAATATTTATTGTAAGCTTATATCACAGGCCTGGACTAAATTGACTTTACATTCCTCTTAAATAAGCAAATTAAATAAAAGATAAATTAATTAATGTGGTCATTATATGTTAGATAAATTTTTACCTGGATTATGTACACTGTCTATTTATTTCAAGCTAGTATTTTTAAGTCTCCAAAAAATAATCAGACATACCAAAGAAATGCACCTATTACAAATGCTGGTCTTGGTTTATGTTTGTTACAGTGAATATTTCTAAAATGTGAAAACCTTATTTAGACACAGCTGAATTGCCCATGAGGAGGTCAAATGTGTGTAATAAATGAATTTGCTTCACTTGTTTAATCTCTTGGATCATCTCCAGAATAAGTGCAGACTTCAATTTAGCTCACCACACAGAATCTGTTGATGTATTTGCAGAGAAAAAATTCATACTTAGTTAATACAAAACAACATACACACATGCACACACACACACATTCTTGCATGGACAATATAATAGAAGAGTAAGGTTAAAAGAAGTTGAAAGAAGGGACCTATCTGTATGGATTGGCCTTATGGAAGAAAGGAGACTTGAACATCACCAGGAAAGAATAATTATTACAGAGGCATTGAAGAGGATATTGGGGATCCAGTGTGCAGGTGAGAGTCAGTTAAGGGAAAGGGGTCAATACAGAACCATGTGTTGTCATACCAAAAGACTCTCTCTCTCTCTGGCAAACAGTCAGATAAAGGGGAAAAAATATTATATGAAGATGTGGCCAGATGATGGAAGACTGCAAATTCCTGTTAAGGAATTGTAAAATTCATTCTTTGGACAAAAATCAGAAGCCACTTGTTTAGGTCCATTTTCATGCTGCTAATAAAGACATACCCAAGACTGGGTAATTTATAAAGGAAGGAAGTTTAATAGAGTCACAGTTCCACATAACTGAAGAGGGCTCACAGTCATAGTGGAAGGCAAAGGAGGAACAGAGTCACATCTTACATGGAGGCAGGCAAGAGAGTATTTGCAGGGGAACTCCCATTTATAAAACTATGAGATCTCTTGAGACTTACTACCATGAGAACAGTATGGGGGAACCATCCCCATGATTGAATTATCTTCACCTGGCCCTGCCCTTGACACATGGGGATTATTACAACTCAAGGTGAGATTTGGGTGGGGACACAAACCATATCACCACTGAACACATTATTCTTTTTCACCTTTCCAATGGTCTGATTCTAACAGTTGGGAAAGACAGACTTACCAGCAGGGTATTTGTTTTTAGTACCTGAAGATTGTTCCACATTTCTTCTCCATTTCCAACATATAACAAAAATATATTCCAAAAATGCTAACACTTAAAACAGATACAGCATGTATTTCTTTTCATTTTTCAAAGGTTAGCTAAAATGTTAAGAAACTGTTAAGACAGCATTACTACCATTTTCTAACAAAAGAGAAGGTTTTGTTGTTGTTGTTTTTTTTTTTTGCCTCAAAAAGTGACATTTATTCAAAGAAAAAAATGACAAGATGTCCATCCCTTGGTTCCCTTCCCTCCCTCTTCCTGCTGCTCCTCAGCTTCCACCAAGACTGAGCGCTGGCTGGGGCTAAGTGGCAGGACAGCCCCTCAGATGAGATCAGCAATATTTTTTCACCTCTAATCACTTATAGGTTTAGTTGTTGATACCCGAAGAGTTACCCAGACCTAGATAAAGATCAAGGGCAAAGGCAAGGCGTATCTGCATTGATTTGCTGTTTTTGTCTTGCAACTGTTATAGTTATGGTGGCAAAGACAAGGGGGACCGCCAAGTTTTCCTCCACAGTGTCCACATAAGAGGGAGAAATCCATGATAGTAGTTTGGAGGAAAAAGATTAGGTCCCAGCAGCTGGTCTCCAGTTCTACCCAGAAAGATAGGTAGCCAAGAAAAGAAGGAGGAGTGCTACATGTTGGCAGATCTCAGCTTCAAATGCAGCTGCTCATTCTTTCAGTCTATGAGCAGCTGAAAACAGGCACTGCTCATTGATTTCTCTTTTGCCTCCTAGCTTTGCCAACCAATGTTAGTTGTGAATTGTGTTACAGAAAGTACCTTATTACGTAACTGAAAAGAATTCACAGGGAAAATATTAGACATAACCATGCCTTCCATTCTTAGCACACTTAAAGAATAATTTGTTTTCAACTTTATATATTGATGCAAACATATCTGTACTTTTTTCACATAAGAGCTTTAGACAGGACTAGTGATCATTCTTCAGAAACAAGAACTCTTTATTTGTTTAAAAGGAGCACAGGGACATACGAAGAACAGACAGTTACAACTCTCTCTTGAGAAGATCAAGGTATAAGCATTGAAGAAACTAGGAGAGGAGACAGAAAGGACCCACCGTTTTCTATCTCAAGCAAACTCTCATCAATGAATATGTGATCATTGATGGGTTCCAATCCATTTTCACACAATTTTGTGGTTCCTTTCCTTCCTGAAATGCCTGTGTGCTGTGCTTATCTCCACACTGATGGTGACTATTCACCTGATCTCAACCACAAGACCTCTTTGTATACTAATATAGTTAGAGGCTAAATGCAGCTAGGGAAACTTAGACAAACTCTGCAACTATCTGTCTCAAGTGTCAATCCAAAACCCCAAACAACCATCTTTGTTTCAGTGGGCAAGAGAGGGACCACACTGATTCCAGAACCCTCAGAAAGCTGCTTGTCATTATATAGGCAACATGTGAAGACATATGATTTATATTGTGTATGCCACTTTTGTTCAAATTGACTGCATTACTGTTTATGCACCTATTAACAAAGTTACATTATTACAAAATCTGTTGAATTTTAAACTAAAAATAATTATAAGGCACGTGTCTTGCACAATTGTAATCAGACAATCCTTGCCTCTAATTAAAATATTTGAGGAGGTTTATATCAAACTTAATGAAATAGCTTCTTATTTCTGAAGAGATTTCCTAGACTTTTGACCAAAAGCAGAGAAACCGAAAGATGAATCATTTCTAGAAAACAAACTTTTTCCATGGTACTACATTTGTGTGTGTGTGAATTCCATTGATAACAGTAATAAATTTCTTTAATCAAAACAGCATGTATTGAAAAATGAGATGCCATAAAAATAAATATTAGAACAGTTAAATTTTATCAAACACTTATGCAAAAGTAAAATATTTTTGCACACTGTAAATTTCAATACAATATACATTACATTAACTAGATTACAACTTATGCAAGGTGAAAGAAATAAAAATAATTGCTTCTAACACATGTAATCCCAATGTGTTGATAATAACTTGATCTGCATTGTCCATTTCATTTGCTTGATGTTTGGGTGCCTCCAGCAAAATAAGCATGTCTCACTCCATCACTAGCACAGTATATTTTGTAAGTGAAATAATAAACATATAAAAAATTACTTTAATATTTGCCTCAAGGGGGGAGCTTACAGTTCATCTTGCAGATCCTTTGTGATTTCAAGCCATTCCAAGCTAATGTTCTGATGCCATTCCTTATACAGATCCCGAATTATAAAACTCTGGAACCAAGTCAATGAGTTATACTTCCATGCCACTTTCTTTTCTGCTACTCTTTGAAATCCACAGTGTGGACTGGTTTGGACTAGTTTTTGTTCTTCCTTTACTGAAAAACATAAGAAAAAATATGTTTCGTGCTTAAAACTTCTTATTAAACTAAGCATGTCTTGGTCCAAAGCGAAATATCTCAGACAATTATTTGTGAAGGTGCGCTTCTCCTCTCAGTAGTATATTTTCCCATTCTTACAAAAAATTCTAGATTATTCAAATATGTGAAGATGGCAAACAGTTCTTGTGAATTATGGAGAAAACAAAACATAACTTTTCCTGTTGGATCTTTCCTAACTTAGACTTCATTATTTTTGTTTTGGTTGTTGTTGTTCTTTTAATTTTTTTTATTGCCATAGGTTATGGGGGAACAGGTGGTGTTTAGTAATATGAGTAAGCTTTTTAGCGGTGATTTGTGAAATTTTGTTGCAGCCATCACTTGATTAGTAGACGCTGTGCCCAGTTTGTAGTCTTTCATCCCTCACCCCCTTCTCACCCTTTTCCCCGAGTCCCCAAAGTCCACTGTGTCATTCTTATGCCTTTGCATCTGCATAGCTTAGCTCCCACTTATGAGTGAGAATATATGATGTTTGGTTTTCCATTCCTGTATACTTCACTTAGAATAATAGTCTCCAATCTCATCCAGGTCGCTGTGAATGCCATTAATTCACTCCTTTGTATGGCTGAGTAGTATTCTACCTTATAAATATACCACAAATTCTTTATCCACTCAACATTTAGATTGGTTCCACACATACAAACATGTGCCTGACACAACATTAAAAATTTGTTTTATTCACTAATTAAAAACCTTTATTTTCTTTGATCAATTATTTTGGAAGTCTGTCAATAATGTATGTTTAATTTAATGCCAAATCATCAAAACAATGTTATTATACTACGTGTAAGGATGCATCTATTCCCCTCGTCCCATCAGTTCTCCAGTCTTGCACCTAAGCCACTTGATTTCTGGAAGCTTACTGGTGCCTCAGTCCCTGAAACCAATGTGGTTCAATAGCAGATTCGTGCTTTGGTAACTTAACAGTATCTGAGTTCCTCCAGATCTGAGATCTAACTTCACCCTTGTCAGATTTGGAATTCTGGCCCACATTTCCAGCCTGTATCTAGGGTTCTGCTATCTTCTGTCTTTCCATAAAATGCTAACTTTTCAGGCACTTGCAGAAGTTATGTGTTCCTGAGTTTACCCAAGTCATTCTCTTTATTTTATTTTATTTTATTATTTTTTGAGATGGAATCTCGCTCTGTCACTCGGTTGGAGTGCTATGGTGCGATCTCAGCTCACTGCAACCTCCACCTCCCAGGTTCAAGCGATTCCTCTGCCTCAACCTCCCAAGTAGCTGGGATTACAGGCACCAGCACCACACCAGGCTAATTTTTGTATTTTTAGTAGAGATGGGGTTTCGCCATGTTATCCAGGCTGGTCTCAGACTGCCAACCTCAGGTGATCCACCCAAGTTGTTCTCTACTGGATGCCCTGTCAAAATCTAGATTTCTTTGGGCTGGTTTCCTCAGGATAATCTTTTGCCTGGAACTAAAGTGTTTGTGTGTCCCAGTTCACCGTGTTGTGCACTTACTTGCTCCCTGACCACCCCATCCCCAGTTCCCAGCATCTGCCTCAGTCCTCACAGGCTTCTCCTCATCTTCTCCTCTCCATCTACCAGACATTGCAGAACTCCCTCAAAGACAGAAAATAACTATTTCTAAACACACCTGATCCCGAAGTATAAAACTATTGCTTAATTCACTTAGATTTAATCATTTTTGTTACAAATAAAATATTATGTCCAAATTTTACAGTTTGTGAATTCTCATCCAAATAAGTAAGATCAACACAACTTTATTCTACTAAGTCATCTAACATGGATGGAAAATAAGCCAAGAAAGTTTATTAAAAGCACAAAATGTTCTGAATGGTAAAAAAAAAAAAAAAAATTATTAATGTGGCTTTTGGGTAGAATTAGTATTTCGTTTAAGGATTACTACCCCATAAGGAGGCTGGGGGTGGTGGTTAATGCCTGTAATCCTAGCACCGTGGGAGGCTGAGGCGGCGGATCACTTGGGGTCAGGAGTTCGAGACCAGCATGACCAATATGGTGAAACGATCTCTACTAAAAAATACAACAATTAGCCTGACATGGTGGTGCATGCCTGTAGTTCCAGCTACTTGGGAGGCTAAGACAGGAAAACTGCTTGAATCTGGGAGGCAGAGGTTGCAGTGAGCCAAGATTGAGCCATTGCACTCCAGCCTGGGCAACAGAGCAAGACTCCATCTTAAAAAAAAAAAAAAAAAAAAAAAAAAAACAAGAGCAGAAAATCAAACACCGTATATTCTCACTCATAGGCGGCTGTTGAACAATGAGAACACATGGACACAGGGAGGGGAGCACTACACACTGGGGTCCGTTGGGGGGAAATGGGGGAGGGATGGGGGGGTGGGGAGGTGGGAAGAGATAGCATGGGGAGAAATGACAGATACAGGTGAGGGGACAGAAGGCAGCAAACCACACTGCCATGTGTGTACCTATGCAACAATCTTGCATATTCTTCACATGTACCCCAAAACCTAAAATGCAATTAAAAAAAAAGAGAGAGAGAGAAAAGAATTACTACCCTGTAAGAAAACAAGAGTTATTTTGAACATGATGTGGAATGATAGAAGCCATTGTGTGTACCAGACTGGAATTTAAGCTTTCTGCAATGTACCCAGATAATAATGGAGTAGAGTCTTTGATGAAGTTTCTCCTTGCTTTCCTGGAAGAAAGAAAAAGTCGAGGATCTAAGAACAAATGAATTCAGTGCTACAATTAATCACAGCATCTGGAGGTGCTGTGTTTTGGTTTATGTTCTCACTCTGAGAATTTCAAACAAGTGAAAACTCTACAGATCTTTAAGCTGTAAAAACCTGGGAGAGATTTTGAATGAATAGAATCGCCACTATAATATACTACTGGGAAGAAAGGAAGCAAATAAGGAAGCAGTTACTTGGCACTTTAATGACTTTTACTTTATAAAGAGGAATATATAAATAAAAAGTTCAAATCATCTTTTCAAGTACATTTGCTACTTTCAGATCTTTCATTAACAGTTTGGCTGGAAGGAAGGATTTATGTCAAATTCTTCCTCTATTTCACTCCCTTCCACAGCATTAAATCATCTTTCCATCTATGGTCTTAGAAACCAGAGCAAGAAATTACATATTTACTGTTCTTTTATTCTGTACAAAATTTAAATTTTTTTTTTTTTTTTTTTTTTTTTTTTTTTTTTTGAGAGAGAGTCTCACTCTACTGCCCAGGCTGGAGTACAGCAGCATGATCTTTGACTCACTGCAACCTCCACCTCCCAGGCTCAAGTGATTCTCCTGCCTTGGCCTACCAAGTAGCTGTGATTACAGTCACACACCATCAAGGCTGGCTAATGTTTGTATCTTTTTAGTAGAGGTAAGGTTTCACCATGTTGGCCAGGCTGGTCTCAAACTCCCGACCTCAGGCGATCTGCCCACCTTGGCCTCCTTAAGTGCTGAAATTACAGGCATGAGCCACCTCATCTAGCCCAAAAAATATTTTAACTGTGTTCCACATATATACTAGAACTCCAAAAGGACACAAAGTATAGTATTAATTTGCCAGGCTTTATTTATCATTACTCAAAATGTTTTATTTTAACATCCAGCTAGTTACAGTTTGGATTCTTTTGAAAATTTATGTGAATCATTTAAAACTGAAATCTATTTAATTTTTTTCTGGGTCTTTTGTTACTTAATGGGTTCTTTGGGGTTTATTTCAGAAAAAGAAGGAGATGCAGTAAGGTCAAAAGAGAAAAATGAATTTGTTTGCAGGTCTTTCCTGATGGGGGCAGTCTCTTGACCAGTTCTTAATTAAACCACTCAGACAAAGATGTCTACTTTATTCTGGCAAACATGCTCTTATATAAACAGAATAGCTTTTCCTTTTTTTCTTTTGACACATTTACATGTCATTTTTTGTTTGAAAATGAAAAAATTTTTATTTTAATTTTTTTCATTTTTATTTAAAAATTGACACACATGGAAAAACTTCTCTAACTCATGGTTATGGGTAAGCAGATACAAAAGTCATAATATTCCCCCAGAAATCTTGCTGGTAAAATACAGGATTTTATTTCAAGATACCTGCCAAAAAGTAGCCTATTTTAACCACTGTATTTTATTTCCTATTCTTAAAAGATCTTTATGAAATAAAACAGAAACCTGTAGCTTGAATTTTGAAAAGTAATACAAAGTGAACTTACAAATATCAAGTCTTACATATAGCTTGATGTCTAGATTGAAAAGTTCAGCATTAATTCTTTCATTTCATAAACAAGAAACAGTATAGTATAGTGCATATGTTGGAAGTTTACAAATATCCAAATTTCAGATTCACCTTAAACACTAGCTATGGGACCCAAGGCAGAACAGGTAACCCATCTAAGACATCATCTGCTCAGCTGAGAAATACAAACAGAAGGGTAACTGCTATTAATAAGTCTATTGAAGATTAAATGATACATTAATTCTATAATCAATATATATCTTATTAGATGTATGTATAGGGTTGTACGTGCAGGATTTCTTAAGGCATATTAAAATATAATTAACTTTATACGAATAGTTTTAAAACATTTCGGAAAACCTAAAGTTTTTCGAATTGTCTCTACATATATGAGTTATTTACCTTTTATGTAGCATCTGGAAACAACAGGTTCCAAAAGCAACCAGTATCAGTAAGAGCAGTGGTATTGTCGGTATAACAACATAAATTAGATTGGGAATTATACCTACAAAATAAAACAGTCTTCATGTGAAAAGACAGTTAAGGAAGAATTCTAACACAAAAATTTGTAAGAATTAAAAAAAAAAAGGTGAAATTGAGTTATCACTAAATTGATCCCAAAGTTCTTCTCAAAATGTTGAAAAATCTAATGAAATAATATACAGTCATGTACCACATAGTGACATTTCAGGCAATGATGCACCACATATAAGACAGTGGACCTATAAGATTATAATGGAGCTCCCCTATATAGGTGTACCATCTTTTGTATTTCATATCCCATTTTATGCATTTCTATGTTTAGATGGATTTTGATAACTACCATTGTGTTACAGTTGTCTACAGCATCAGTACAGTAACATGCTGCAGGGGTTTGTAGTCTAGAAGAAATAGGCCATGTCAAGTAGCCTAGATGTATAGTCAGCTATATGATCTAGGTTTAAGTACACTCTATGATGTTCGCACAATGACAAAATCACCTAGTGGTGCATTTCTCAGAACATATCCACATTGTTAAATGGTACGTAACTATTCATGTTTTGGTAAAAATTAAAAACAAAACTTTACTGAACTGAAAATTGAATTGTACTGAATTGTAGTGATATCAGACTGTTCCAATTTGATATCCATACTTCCAAAACTATTATTAAATCAGCAATGCAGACATGGACTAGCTTTCACAGTATATTAATAATCTTAGCTAACTCGTTTCATTATTCCTTCTCAATCATTACAAAAACAAATGCTTATTAAAAATAATTATTATTAAAATTATTGTGGATATATTGGATATATCATTACCTAGTCAATAAGCTTAGTGCTATGATTACATACTAGTCACTGGGATTAAAATGAAATATGTAAATATTAACTGATGATACAGTAATGACTCAGAGACACAAGACTCCAGTGGCACAAAAACTTGATCTTAATTAAATTCTAAAATGAATTATTTTTTAATCCTGTTCCATAACATTTCATAATGCTAGATGTTCTTGGTAAAATTAAAAAACTGTGACATCAAAATCCCATACAACTTAAAATTACTTTAATAAACATTTGTTCAATTTCATATGAGAAAAAATTTTTCCAATGTGATTATTTACCGATTTTTTCCTTTTTTGAGACAAAGTCTTGCTCTGTCTCCCAGGCTGAAGCGCAATGGCGCAATCTCAGCTCACTGCAACCTCCACTTCGTGGGTTCAAGCGATTCTCTTGCCTCAGCCTCCCAAGAAGCCATGATTGCAGGCACCTGCCACCATGCCCAGCTAATTTTTATATTTTTTAGTAGAGACAGGGCTCTGCCATGTTGACCAGGTTGGTCTCAAACTCCTGACCTCAGGTGACCCACCTGCCTCGGCCTCCCAAAGTGCTGGGATTACAGGTGTGAGCCACCATGCCTGGCCTACTGATCTTTTTAATTAGGATTAGATGTTCTGAATGGTTTCAAAACCAGGCACCTGAAAAGTGAAAAGCACTAAGCCTTCATATCATGTCTATGCATAAAAGCAAATTGAAGAACTGTGCATTTAGCTTGCAAATTAAAAGTCATCATCATGACTAATCTAAATAATTCTGGTCAAAGTAGACCAGATGTGTAGATAAAGCTTTCCACTGAACTGCGCATCACTTCATTTGTTAACAGAAGACAAACTCATGAGGTCCAACAATAGGGTACCTGAGCAATAATTTGCTATTTCCACCCATTCTTGTTTGACTTCAAGCAATTTAAGGATTCAAGCAATCTCTAGACACATATCAGCACACCTTTGTTCGCTCTTCACTGAATGTGCCAATTTTGCATCATGACACCTACGTCTTGTTAGAAAAGTTTCTTGTAGACCCAAAGTTGTTTTTGTTGTTGTTGGTGGTGTTTTTATTGTTGTTGTTTGTTTGAGCCAGGGTCTCACTCTGTTGCCCACTCTCGACCGTAGTCATGATCACTGCTCATTGCAGCCTCAGCTTCCCAAGGTCAGGTGATTCTCCCACCTTAGCCTCCCAGTAGCTAGGACTACAGGCATGCACCACCATGCCAGGCTAGTTTTTTATATTTTTGTAGAGATGGGGTCTTGACAGATTGCTCAGGATGGTCTTGAATTCCTGGGCTCAAGTGATCCCCCTGCCTCAGCCTCCCAAATGGCTGGGATTACAGTGGCGTGTGCCACTGTGCCCAGCCAGATCCAAATTTTCATGTAAGTCACATAGTTTAGCAACACTTTAAAGAAAACCAAACAGGTTTTTCTATTTAAATAGTAGCTTAACATAATTTTTTCTAATCTAGTTCAAAATTAAATTTCCATAGGACCAAACTTAGTGCACCACTTCCCCAGGCAGGAAAAGTGTCACTGGAGTCAACATGAAGCAGCGTTTGAAAGTACAGTTCAGTTCTTGATGAAGTTAAAGACACATGAAGTAATTACCTGCTTCAGTAACAACCACATTTTGCTGGGTGTCTCCTGGTTGATTTGTAAGATAAGGCTTTTCTACAGGTGCTGTTGGATTAATCTCTGTAAATAATAAGTATCAGCATCATATATGATGATTAAATAAGAGAATTGAAAACATATATAAATATGAATGTTTATTATAAAACAATAAAAATATAATTTTGATTTCAGAACATCTTACAGCTAATAAAATCTATTCTGAATTTAAACTTACATAAAATTATCTATCTTTGATAACATTTAACTATATTTGAATAAACATTTAATTATCTTTGAATAAAAGATGCACTTGATACATTCTTCCTTGAAACTCCAGACTCCATTCAGCAATCAACAGTGGGTCTGTGCTGATGACAGCCTGCTGCAGGCAATAATGGCAGACCAGGGACAAAGTTAAGCAAGGATAACCAAGAATTGGTAACCTTAAGAGTGTGATACACTCAATGCAATTCAGAGACAAGCAAAATAACTTCTTTACTAATATCAGTGTATTATTTAGGTTTTCCCTTGTGACAATAATCAGATGACTGTATGTGAATTGCATTTGGAATTGATGATTCAAGCAACAATGTTCTAAGGCACAATTCTGTTCTGCATATACAATGCCATCCTTAGATTTGCTCTTCAAGAGTATCTACTGTTAAAAATAATAATAATATTGAATTAAAGCTTGCAAGTTTCTTTTTCTAGTTTTATAGATGTCTCTTCTATTGCCACATGCCTTATTTTTTATTGTTTTTCTAACTTTTACTTTAAGTTGAGGGGTACATGTGCAGAATGTGCAGGTTTGCTGCATGGGTGAACATGTGCCATGGTGGTTTGCTGCACAGGCCACCCCATCACCTAGGTATTAAGCCCAGCATCCATTACCTATTCAGCATCCATTAACTATTCTTCCTGATCCTTTTCCTCCTGCCACACACTTTAAAATTGTTGACATTTCTTGTCACAATTTGGTATTGCTCTATTTTCTATTTTTCTTTCCCTTAAGGAACTATTTGTTAAATTAATAATTCAATGAAAGTAAACTGAATTATTTTTTTAAAAACCTGTACATTTGTTACAATGTGTTCCAAAAGTGTAATTTTCTACTTACTTTTGTCAATTGAAATAAGAACACATGTAACATCTTATATAGTTTTTTGGATACAAAAGAATTTTAATTTAATGTTTACCATTATTACATTGTCTTATAATGTCATAGAGTCTCCCTTTGATGGAAGTTTAATCATAGTAATATTGTTACTCCACAGTAATATTGTTACATAGTAATATCCTGTAGTAATATTTGTTACTGTTGTATACAAATTTTACTCTGACATCTTAATAGCCTCCTCTGATTCAGTCCTAAACTATACCTGTTCTTCTATAGTATTTAGTCACCCTATGCCTACTCAATTGGCATTTTTTAACAAATAATGTAAGTATTATGCAAAATATCACTAAAACTCAAGCAGTGATTACATAACCAAGGAATTTAATCTAACCAACATCCTTTACAAAGCAGACACTGAGCTCAAAGAAGGTCAACTAAGTAGAAAAAAAAGATTAAATAATGAAATAAAAAATTATAATCCTGAGCACATTAATAAGACCAACAGTAAACCTGTGAATGTGGTTCAAAACAATAACTACATAAAAATATTTTAATCAATATAGATTATTGAACATTTGGGTAGAGGGTAGAAGATAAAAAAGAATCATTTTATATCTTAAATGCTCTTGCATGAGTAATGTAAACCTAATAATGTAAACAAGAAAAGAAGATTGTAAGATTTATAGTGTCCTAATCACGCCTGTAATCCCAGCACTTTGGGAGGCCGAGGCGGGTGGATCACGAGGTCAAGAGATCGAGACCATCCTGGTCAACATGGTGAAACCGCGTCTCTACTAAAAATACAAAAAATTAGCTGGGCATGGTGGTGCGTGCCTGTAGTCCCAGCTAGTCAGGAGGCTGAGGCAGGAGAATAGCCTGAACCCAGGAGGTGGAGGTTGTGGTGAGCAGAGATCACGCCATTGCACTCCAGCCTGGGTAACAAGAGCGAAACTCTGTCTCAAAAAAAAAAGAAAAAAGAAAAAAGAAAAACTTAAATTATATATAATACAATGAAGGGTCAAATAATTGATCTATGAACTCAAAAGAAAGGAGAAGGCAACAATAATGTGATATTAAGAATAATGCATAATATCGCATTTGTTTTATTCAATAGTTTTAAGTACACAGAATGTCACAAATTTAAAATATCAGAGAATTTCAACTTTATACTTCTCCAAGAGAAAAATAAAGGACATAAGCATGTAACAGACTCAGCTTTGCAAAGGCTTCCAGGAGGGTAATGATGGGTTTAGCAAGCAAGGTCTTTAAAAAATAAACTCACCAGGGATGTATAAAGTTGCCTCAATACACTCAAGAGCAGGCTAAATCTAAGAGAAGGGTAAGTCTAATCCAAATAATCCTTTGTGCTTTATGTTATTACGAGAAAAAGAATAATGTAATTTCAAGAGAATAATGGAAGCAGCAGTACTCAACCATAATTACCTTCTGTGAACACATATTATGAGTTCAAGAAGACACTCCTTCAGAAGAGTTAAATTGACACAAACACTGAGGAGAAAAACAGCTAAGAGATCTCAAAGACTAAGGATCTAACTTGACTTTCTCAGATGATTTAAAAAAATGAGTCCACAGAGTTTTTATTAATCCCTCTTTCAGTCAAATATCTATATTCAGATGATCTGTTCCATTCAAAGTAATTCAAATTTACTATATTTTTAATCTAGAACCCACGCTATTAGAGCTCAAGTCAATGTAATCTTCCCATTTGCTGCATATGACAAGTAGTGGGAGATTTCAAAAGAAAGGTAAATGAGAAAGCATATTTCAAGAATGGGAATCATAGGGAGAACAAGCCACATCTTCCTACTTTTTTTCACTATGGGGCAATGAGCTATGATAGTCTTATTTTTACTGAGTACCTCATGTCAACTATTATACCATAAAATGATAAGCAAATTAACCAGGAGCAAGTGCGTTGTTCTCTTAAATTCATGAAATAAAGAACTGCTGTTCACATGTGCAAAGCACCTGTAGGTGCTTTGGTAACTTACACCTACTTCCCACATGTTACAGTCACTGTTTAAAATAATTTAAAATAGATATTTACTGTTTATAAAATCTATTTACAAAAAATCAAATTGTTTTTAATGTTAGAAATGATTATTTTCCCTTAAAGATACCTCTTCAGATGTTTCTATTTACTCTCTTCTTTGAGCTCATTGGACAGTTTGCTCTACAGGATATGATATGCTTCAGTACACAAGTGATATGACAAGCTTAAGGTAATTTTCTATTTCACAGCAGAAAAACAAAAAGAGCCAAAGGTAGTGAAAATTAAAGACAAAACTTAATAAAATGAAATATGCGCAAAATCTTCTCTACCTTCTTTTGCTACTGCTTACCTGGTTCATACTTGCAAATATAATTGTGCTTCATGTTGCACCTGTCATCATTCCACTGGTAAAGGTAGGGACCCCCAAGGCCAGGATTGGCAGTTGGTTGGTGGTACATCACAACACACTTCTCACTTCCACAGGAAGGTTCATCTGTGTACCAGTTTCTGCAAACACAGAGTAACATGAACGCTCAGATATCTGCCTCCTAAGCGATTCTTCTTGTTCTGCTCTTGACATCCTCTACAGGCAAGAGTCCTCTCCCTACCTTGTGGATTTCCCCAGAGCACCTGTCAACTGCTCAGGATCCATACTCACCGGTACTGGGAACTGCTTCCATCAGACCACTGGTAGAGATCTGGGCAGGCACCAGAAGTTTGCACATTTCCATTCCTCCAAAGCCCTATCCAGAAATCGCCATCAGAAATCCCTGTTCCAGGTTTTGTCAAATTTTGCAACATGCTCTCTATTAACTTCTGTTCTGCTTCATTCTCAAGGCTGAGGAGGACTCCTCCCTCACTCTCACAAGCCAGGCGTGCCTCCTGAAAGCTCACTCGGCTGGACAGTTCATGGAAGTACGCCATTTTGTAGCAGGGATGCTTGAAGTCAGCAAAACACACCTTTTGGCCTGAAAAAAAAAAAAAAGATGTATTGATAATCTGAACTCTATTTGTAACACCACTAAGAACCAAAATTTAAGAACCAATGCTTCTCCCACTGAATTATTTTATAAAGTTTATTTTCTAGCCTATTGCTTGCAATTTGTAAAAGCAAATTGATTTCCTAGTAAATTTGGAACATAAACTTTTAAATCCAGTACTTCAAGAAATGTTTGTGAAGGGAAGTTATAACTCTTCTGGCGTAGATTTTATAAATCAATTAACATAGGAAATAAAAATAGCTAAAAGAATTTCAGGAATGTATATTGAAGTGAGCTAAAACTTTATGAAAGAAAAAGAACAACTCATAAACCAAATTAATTATCAAAAAAAAAGTAAAGTAAAATGAAACTATTTTATATAAGGTGTTCTGAAAGAGATACACGGTGGCAAATTTAAGGTATAAATATTTGCTTTTATTTTGTATACCCAAAAGCAAATCTATTAACATTGAAAGTTTAAAGAGGACAGAATGAAGGTAATAGGTAGTATTAATTAATTAGTATAATATTACATTGGAAGTGACAGAGTTGACTTCTAAAGTACTCATTATCTCTGAAAAAAATCTCATTACCAGTTTTTTTGAGTATTTTCTCTTGGGAGATATTGTGCGTAAACTCCAATTCCTAAGACAATGTCTTCTCTCATTTTACAAAGATAACTCTGATAAGTGATCAATTGCAAATAAAAACTCCCAGCTATCAACATAGAGAAATAAGTACCTTTTTAAAAAAGAAATATATTTTAAATGTGAAAAAATGATGGCTTAGAAAACAGTGGAACAAGTGTATCACGAAATAAAGGAGCTAGTAATATCTTATCAATGGCTAACTAGTGTTGATTTCTCTCAATTTGGATGGAGACCTAAGTAGGCCGAAATGTGGCCAAACTAGTCTTTCATAGACAGTTAAATAATTAGCTGGAAACAAGGTAATAAACATTTTGCAAACTTGAGAATAAATTATTTGTCAGCTTTAGAGGCTCTACTTACATATTAACACATATGAAATAACAATGGCTTTCTCTCATTTAACCTTAAAAAAATTCCATTAGTTCCTTTACAAGTTTGAAAGTAATATTACATTTTTAAACCTTCGCTAACTCAGAATTTTATTAAACTGAAATACAAATTTATTTAAATTTACCTTTCTCTGTAGTTAATCTTACTACTGGTGGTTTTAGTGCATATTTCTTCATTAAAGATTAGGATGAATTAAATATCCAAAATCTATGAATAAATACAAACATACTCTAAATTTGAAAGTAACGTTTAAAATCTATTTTTTATTTTAAACCTGTATTTTAAAGGTTTTTATATTACAGCATTCAGTTTAACCACCTATCCTGATATCTATTGACTATGTACAGTATATACTATACATAATAAAGTCATTATTTGTAGAATACTGAAAATCAATTTGTTTTAAAATATTAGACAGAACCACAAAAAAAGCTTAAAAGAATTTTTGAGACCTCATAATGGAATTCTGCTCGAATATTTGTGAAGTCTTAAACACATGGGCAAAAAGAGTTTGAAAAAAAATCTCAAAATTAAATTTTACATACCTCTACATTAAGTGGTGTTAATTTTCCTAATAACCTAGTGAAATAACTGTAAATATTCATGATCATATCAAGTCATAATAAAGTCATGTATATTTATGTTTACATATATATGTCAGAGAAAGAAAAGAGGGAAGGAAGGAATAAAGGAAGGAGGGAGGGAGGGAAGAAGAAAGAAAATAAAGAGAAAGGGAGAGAAAAAAGAGAAGGAAGGAAGGAAAGAAAGAGAAAGAAAGAAAGAGAGAAAAGAAAGAAAGTAGGAAAAGAAAAAAGAAAAAGAAGGAAAGAGAGAGAAAGAAGGAAAGAAAGAAAGAAAAGAAAGAGGTCAAGGATATTATGATATATAGGATTTAGCTAGCTCTACCAGCAATGGATTTTCTATTGTTCTATTGTCCACATTCATCCTTGTCTGCCACTAAGAATGTATGCCGATATTATAGACAATCTCCAAAATGATTATTCTGTCTTGTTTTGGTTTTCACTGCTTCTACTTTTATTCACCTCTGGTCTCTGCTGTCAACTTTTTAGACTGCCAAGAATGCCTCTCTGTTACTATTTCTTATGCCCAAACTGCTTTCGATAGCCTTTTCTACTTTCTTAGTCTCTCCCTCTATTTGAGCTTAGATTTGGACTTGGAAAATAGACTATCTATTAAAATTAGACAAATTACTTTAGACTATGTAAAATTAAGACAAATTACTTTATGCTAAGAAATTATGACATCGTTTCACTGCTTTCTTACAATTCATCTCCATCAATATTATTCTTGTTGATATTTGTGGCCTTTTCTACTATGTATTTAGTTTTGTAGCCTATCAATAGAAGTTGTCAGTAGTCACAGATTTGTGGGGGTGGGGGAGATTCTTGTATTTAAATACTGGCAAGAAAAAAAGCATTCAAATTTTGTACTTTAGTTACAGTACATCACACTGAGCCAGTGTATCATATCCATTCCCTTCTGGAGTCAACAATTCATGACCTATGATGACACTCAGAGGCAGAAAGGCTCAGAAATCAGTTGAAGGTCACTAACTTCTCAACAGGGTTTGAGTGATAGGCATTTAATATCTTGACACAAACTGAGAACGCCTATCATAAAATAGTAGTTCCGGCAATGCAAGCAGGCCAAGGGTTGTTCCCTTGTCTCATTAACCATGATCTGGACCCAGGAATGGTACACAGAAAATGTGAACAAATTAAAAGGCTGCCGAAATAGTTAATTAAAAATAACGTGAGTATGAATGACAATGGGAAATGAGTTAGAGGGAATTCAGGACACATCAGCCTGAAAATGCATATTCTTTGAGAGATGATCATGAAAGTCTCAATGGTTGACTCTGAAAATTAATGTATTATTTTTTAAATATCCGAAGATTTTATTAGGTTTTGTGATGATTTTGTCATTTAAAATGGTTATTCTAGGTCAGAGTTTAACAATGCCATTAAGCCTATTTTTTCGTGCCTGTATTTTAGAAGCAAGCTGTTTCCATTTTCATCTACTACATCTTTTACATAGTTCTTAGTGTCCAAATATATCTTAATTACATTCCCTTAAGTTTCCAACTTGTTCAATTTTTCACTCCAAGAGTTTCTGCCTTGGATTATATCCCAGCACTTTTTAAATATTAAATTTGTCCAACAAGATTGTTTTGCAAGATGTCAAAAATGTCATATTAAAAACAACAACAACAAGAGAGTAGCCAGACCTTTTAGTGAGTAAAAAGTGTTATATGTAACAAAGCCCCACACATTCAGGGGATTCCTGGGTATGATGCATATGTTAAAAGTCACTGTTCATTATCTCTGATTCATTAAAAAATAAACGCAACACAGATTTATTCATGATCATACAAAAATGGAGAAGTGAATTAACTCACTTATAACATTAAGATAGCATTTCTAATTAAATGCATGATAGCCTTAGGTTTCATGTGGAAATTTCTAACACCATTATGTTAGTTTATACAGATATAATAATAATCACTATCATCATCATCTATGGGCAGGGATTACATTTAAAAGAATTAACAATTCGACCCTGGATAATAGCCAGCTTGACATGCTCTGTGCCAGGCCATGTCTCTGGTTGTGGATAATAGAGCAGTCCTCAGGTCCTGCTTCAGGGAGTGGAGATTGTGATGCCTGCACAGCAGGGAGACTCTCAGGGCATCCAGACAGCAGCCCATTGATAACTGGAACAGATACCTTAACTCTAAAGTTTGATCATCAGCTGTATCTACAGTTTGAACTGAAAAGTCACTAACAGTTCAGATCTAGCAAGGCATTTTTCAGGAAATTATAAATATATTGCACAATTTGTGTGGTTTATATACAATCAGTTAAAGCTGACACTGTGAATTTCTTTACATTCAATTCTATTTTATTACTGATTTCCACCTTAGCGTGCAAATTCGGTCCAAGTTGCAGCAAAATCAGCAGAAGCAGCAGCTATTGAACCTCTCACCGCTATTTCAGCTGATTACATTTGGCTACTAATGCAGTGAAACTACAACAGCTGGGAAACAAACGTTGCCCTAATTCCCAGAAAAGTTGCGTTAATGCAGATCTTCTGGAGGCAACTTTCCCACTTCCGTAAAAGCCAATCTTCGTAGAGAACAATTACAATTACCTCTTTTCTAATTATGTGAGATAACATGGAGAATTTCTCTGTCTCTCTTTTTTTTTTTTTTAATTAATTAATTTATTTTTTTTGTGAGACCGAGTTTCGCTCTTGTTACCCAGGCTGAAGTGCAATGGCGCGATCTCGGCTCACCGCAACCTCCGCCTCCTGGGTTCAGGCAATTCTCCTGCCTCAGCCTCCTGAGTAGCTGGGATTACAGGCATGCGCCACTATGCCCAGCTAATTTTTTTATTTTTAGTAGAGACACGGTTTCACCATGTTGACCAGGATGGTCTCGATCCCTTGACCTTGTAATCCGCCCGCCTCGGCCTCCCAAAGTGCTGGGATTACAGGCTTGAGCCACAGCACCCGGCTCTCTGTCTCTTATTTTCTAATGTTACATTCAGATAAAATCTTCCACCAACATTTTATGGGATAGGTATTCAGAGAACCATAGAATGGGTTCTATTACACTAAGGTTACATTTATGCTAACTGTAAATTACTATTTGTCAACTAGCACCTGTAGCTGAAAACATCATTTAATGGTGGGTTTATCTATCAGAGAGAGAAAAGATCTGCCCTGGATTCTACAAACACACTGAGAAATAAAATTCAAAATAAATTCTCTAAAACATATTTTAAAAATAAAATACAAGATAATTTATTTCCTAGACATGCACTAGGAGCTAATTTTTAAATCTAAAAAGTATTTAAATATGTAAGTTTTTCTGCACTGAATTTTTTACCATTTATTTTAAGTTCATGGGTATATACACAGGATGTG